GCAGCTTTGGGCACTAAAGAGTTTGTCAAACCGGAAGTAGCTTACCTGAAATGTAGTTGCTGAAATTCAAAACTGTAATCCTGAAAAACGTTCAGCTGCTGCTATCCCCCCTTTATACTTTAATGACACCTTATTTTTTCACTTTAAGGTTCTGTAGATGTCTAGAGTTGAAGTCTTGTTCAAGACCTGGCACCAATCCAGTCATGATGGAGCAGTAGCACGGTGCCTGTCTTAGGCTTAATTATTACAGGAGTCCAAAAGTGAAACATTTTCCTTGTCCCTGAGGAAATGTAATTAATTTACATCTAACGTACAGATCTAAAAAGGTATAGCCTTGGGGTTCTGTGTTGCTCCCAGAATTGTATATTTTTCATTCAGTAGTCATTACATATAATACTCACGTATGCAAAGTGTAGTCATCACCCAGGGAGCAGTAAGTAACAGGCTGGATTTCCCCCTCCTGTGTAAACTGTATCCATGAGTGGCGGATATTGAACACCACTGGTGGATTGTGCCTCTCCACAGCTTCTCTCGAGCTTGGTGAGGAGGACGCTGCCCTGGAAATCAGGATTCGACCCCGCTCAGAGACGGAGGAGGGAGTTAGAGCAAAGTTTTGCCACTTTCCAAGTGTTGTTCAAACCTCCCCGGTGTGATACGGTGGCGCTGACGCCACCAGGAGCAATGCAGATGTGGAGCATGTCATGACCTCTGCCCCGTGAGCAGCTGCTGCTCTGTGCTCTGCCAAGGATTGCTCACAGCAGTGCGCTCATCCGACAGCTGAATGACACCGTCTTCTCCCTGGTAGCTGACGTGGGCAGGCTCGTCCCCTTCTCACACAATGAGCGAAGGATGAAGTCTTCTTAGCTCCTTGCGAGGAAAGCTGTAGACAGCTATCTTCAGGAGTGGTTTTCAGACCTTCCTGGAATACAAATAGCAGCATCTTCCTGAAGATGGACAAATTTTAAGCTGTTGTCTGTGTTTTCTGTGAGTTAGCCCAGCGTTTTGTTCTTTTAAGTTTCTCTTTGTTCCATGCTTTGCATCTGTGGTTTTTTTGCATGCCAGTTCTCTTCATGTGCTGTTCAGGGAGCTACGTGTCTCACCCAGAGCTGTAAATCCAGAAATACTTCACTTTGAAGCATCAAAGACCCCCATTGGACTGAGCCCTCTGTCATACCAGCTTGTACTTTCTGAGCTAGGGAGCAGGGGATGTCTGATTATCCAGAGCAAGTGATATGGCGATCACAGCATTTTAATGTAACTCAAGCACGCTTTGTATTGTGTTTGAAGGTTTCAAGTGATCCCAGTGAGGAACCTGGAGTTTTCTTAGTTTGGCCTCTTGTGGCCAATTGTTTTTTTATTTGTGCTGTTTAATGGATATTGTGCAGAATTTCAACAAAGCATCTGTTGCCAGCGATAACACATATGCACACAGTCTGGGGAAAGTGTTTTATGGTATCTTCAGGCACATTTGTATAGGTAAATGTTGAGCTTTCAGCAGTGGAAGGTCTCCACAGTATTTAATTTAAAGGGCAGTTTTCCCATACCTAATAAAGATCAGCTGTGACCAAGTACATTAAGCAGTCATTTCAGCCATATATTGTATCACAGTTTGGTCACTTCTAACTACCTTTTAAAACTATGTCATGGCTATGCTCGCATAAGGAATGCTGTGCACGTGACTGAGAAGGAAACTGAGTGAATTAATTCTGTGCTTCTCACGAGGTCTTTAGGTGATGAGAGTAAAACTGCTGGAGAACAAAGCTAGAAAGGCAGATGGTTAGTAGAAGTGGATGAAATTATCTCCACCAAGAATTTCATTTGACCCCGATGATGGCACTGTCCTGGAGGAGCAGTTTTGAATGCACCAAGAACGAATTGAGAAGGGAATTAGAATCACTGGGGCAGCTACTCTGCCCATAAGGATGTGTGATGTGCTTCTCCTTTGCGGTTTAAAAAAAAAAAAAAAAGCTCAACAGTTCTTAAAATTTTGCCACTTTTCTGGAGATGGTTCAGAAGTCTAGCTTTATGCATGCGTGTCTGAAGTGTTTACCTGCACACTGTGTTTATGTTGTCTTCCATATACTTTTCTCAGTATTGCTCAGAATCGGGAGATACATGGTAAACGACAATACAAAGACAATGGCTTTGGCTAATTCCTGTTCCACAAGCCCTGCCAATGTGGAACCCTTTTCTTTTTGTTTAAGCACACACAGTCTTTTCAGCAAAAGGGCTGGGGGGGGGGGAGGAAGGAGTACAGAACAAGGTAGTTCCAGTTCCCCTAGTTATAGATTTATGCTAGGCCTTAATAGAAAGAAGTGTGGATGTAGACAAAATCAGTAGTTTTACTGTGCTTCTAAATATTTCACAGCTGTGAAATGTAACAGTCCTGTAAAGCAGCATTTTTATTTTTTATTTTAATGCTGGAAGCCAACAGTGAAGAGGTTAAGTTGTTTAAGGCCCAGAGCAGCTCGCTCAAGGTGACAAATGGATTGTGTCAACTAGGACTAGAAACTATCTTTTGGGCTTTAAAAGAAAGCTTGCTTGAGTTACATGCATTCTGCTCTTGTAGGTTACACTAGGAGCTTGATGAGTTTGAGGGGGGTCGTTGGAGGTAGGCGTCACTTCCTATGCTGGCAGATTGAGACAAGCTACTTACAGTGGTGTAAGGATTTAGTATTGGGGAACGGTCTAGAATGAGGATTTGCAGAGACTGATTTACTGTCCTGTGCAGTCGGGCACAGAGCAAGAAGTTGCCGAGGCCAGTGATAGTACTCGGCCCTGTGCTCAGTGCTAATAAACGTGCACCCCTCTGCCATTCTCACAGCCCCCACAAAGAAGAGAAAGATAAAGTCTGTGGTGTCTTCCTCTGGACCGTATCACACATAGGAGACTGGCTTGACTCCGGAACAGGCTGACCGTGAAAAAGCCTCTGAAATCTGATGCCCAGTCCCCTCTGCGTGTACTTTTGGCAATCAATTTGTGGCATCGCTCCTCTTTCTGGTGGGTAACCTCCAGCTCAGGAAAGCTATCACAATTAGTATTCTTAGTGGAAAGCATAACAATTGATTTGGCCTGGAATACGAATGACTCTTTCCCTGGAGCTGACCCTCCAGGGCAATTTGAGGTGAGGCTTTTTCCCCTTTCTCTCTTTTACTTGGTAGGGGCAAGTGAGAGGCACAAAGTGCCTGTTCTCTGCCTGTTCCAGAGCTGTCAGAAGAGATCCTTATTTTAAGTTTCACTTTAGGGAAGCAAATACATTTTTTATGGGAGTTTATAAAAGCTGTGTATTATCTGTCTTTTCTGTGCCTTTTGTTGTGCAGCATCTTCTTTATGTCTCTTCTTTGACTCCAGTCAGAGCTGGGCTCCTGAACCTCCAGTAAGTCCTCTGGGTAGTAGACAAAGATCTTCAGAGAGGTTTGCAATTTCAAAGCTTTGTACCGAGAGTTTTCTAGGGCAATGGCTACATGTGTCTTTTACTGAGCAGAGTATCTTCAGCACTTATCATGCCATAAATAATTATTTAAAACAGAAGTGTTAATATATCTCTGCCCTTTAGGTATTAACGGCATGATGATAGTAGCTGCCATGTTGGCTGTTCTGTCAATCTTTCTTTCCTCTGCAAACTCTGCCCTTAGGGCCTTATAAGTTGTCCATAAAAATTTGCTTTTGGCTTAAACTTTGCATGTGGCATTTCAGCATGGAAATGAATTTGTGTCAGACTATGTTTAAAATTGGGTCAGTAATATTTAAGTTACATATGTGTGGAGAGAAAAAGGCAGCATCTGCTATCCCGGCACCATTGACTTGACTCTGAGCACTGGGATGTCATTTTTCCATTTGACCGGATTTTTTTCTGCAAAGCAGGAAGAGGCAGATTTTTAGTAACAGTTCCATGTTGTTCATACTAAGAATTAGTACAGAAGTCTGTGTAGCGTGATGAGAATTTGATCCTCAGTGGAGAATGGCACCAGTTCCTTTATTAAAAAAAGAAAAAAAAAAAAAAAAGAAAACAGTAAATTAAATTACTACTATGGTAGCATGGTAGATTGCAAAGCAGAAAAATGAACAAAAAATAAATCCTTTTGTGTTTTGCGATTTTTTCCAACCCTCTGGATAAGCATGTGGTGTACTAATGAGTATTTCCAGTGCCCTGACGGTCTGGTTGGCTTTTGCTTCCAACAGAATTCAATAGCAGCTCTCAGAAGTGGATTCTGATTCTGAACACTATTACTCTTAGGGTATACAGAAGGATTAGAAGCACACAAAGCACGTGTGCTCTATGTCTCCCTGATATGAATGTTGATAGTGCTACAAAGGAAACAACTGTATCCTACCCGCTGTTCCACGTGTGTAGGACATCTCCATGATGGTAGTTTCCAGAATGACCGTCTTGTCTTTTGGATATTTAAGATTTTCATCCAAGATGCTTAAGCTAATTGCTGATGTCAGAGGAGTACCCTGGCCCCAGTACTCCTTAGCTACTGAATTACTTCTGCCACACAGTAGTGTTTTAACTGTGTGACCCTTACCTATTTTAAAGCATAAAGCCATTAATGTTTAATAGCACTTCATGTAAGAAATATAGAGGTATTGTATTTATTTATTTTTGTTCTTTTATAGTAATGACTGTCATTCTATAGTAATTACTGGCTTTTGGGTTTTTGGAGGGTTTTTTTAATTGAAAGAACAGAATCCAGAAATCTAGATAAACAATTAAATAATTGTTTGCAATGGGATGACCTTTTATTTTGCGGTAGTCCAGTCTTATTACTGGACTCTCTGCTGTAAGTGTAGAGCAGCACAAAAAAGTATTTCAGTCTGTACTAACTTTGTTTATGTATCTTAGGCAAAACTGACAAGTCTGCAAGAGCTACCATGGTGTGTTGCATTAACATGCTCTAAAGCTATGAAGTTTGATGTGGCTATAGACCAGCCATAATCAGATAATAGACTCTAATGGCTTGGGGGAAAAAATCAGTCGTTTATAAGATATAACAGCAATGGATATAAAGAGTCTACAGGGTGTCACTGAGAGCTCAGAGATGGCTTGGCTAGTAGTCATCAACCTTTTCTGTAGTTCAGCTTTCCGATTACAACGGGTAAATGTTTTGAATACCCATCCTGCCTTGTAACAAAGGAAGGAAGAGTGCCGCATATTTTAAGAAACTCTGTGTTATCAACGTAAAATATATTCTGTCTTAGAAAATCCAGCTTCAGCTGGTAGAAGCAGCCACTTCTTGTAACTCCTCTATTTTATCTTGTTCCATAAAACTCTGCATTCTTTCCCCTCACTTCTCCATCAGAAGGCATGCTCAAGAACATGATGTCTGAGATGATTAATGGTCTCTCTCATTTCCAGTCTCGAGTTGCTCATGGCTGGTTGATTCCCATTCTGTTGCATTCACTGTCCTTTGGCTTAAGTAACTTTTGTATCTCAAGATAGACTTCTTTGTAGATAGCAGCAATATCACTTCTTGGTCTTCATCTTACTGGACTGAGTGACCCAACCTTTCTTTTGTATTCACTCACAGAATCTGGTCTTCGTTGACCTTCTCACCCAAGTCACCTTTTCTGATCTCATTTCTGGTGTTGTTTTCATTACCTTTATCTAGTCAAGCAGATATTAGTGAGAGAGAATTCAGAGTCTTATTTCCACTGGCATTGCTCACCGTACTACATCTGCACTGCCTCCCTGGTCAGCCAGAGGCTCTGCTCCTCGAGGCCAGGGCCAAGAGCTGTGGGACCACAGCCAGGGGAAGTAGGACAGGCCAGGGAAGGCCTGGGAACATTGCGGTGATTATTAAAGTTCATGAAAGGGGAATGGGTATGTTGGAGGGATGGAGAGGAGAACTGATGCAATTAAGCTGAGCATTTCATGAGTTTGCTGTTGTTCTCTCCGGCCTCAGTTCCCCAGATGAGTTTTGACACAGCTGACTCACAGCTGGGGAGCTAATGACCAAAGGTTTGTGCAGTGTCTCGAAGGAGCATCACGGTGCCCACTAACATCCCTGTGAATGCTTTTAAAGGAGCAACAGTATTAAGAGGCTCGCTTGTAACAATAACGTCTTCCTTTGCGTGTGTATGCTGTAGCTGGTAATCCCTTCCACAGCGGTTCTCTGCCCAACTAGGGCGGGCATGTCCTCAAAGCAGGGGTTACTTCACCACCGCCTCAAAGCAGATCGGTGGTCGTTCAGTTAGAAACCCGGGGACTTTTCTGATATCATCTGGTAAGAGAAGGATGTAAACTGGTGTCATCCTGAGAGTCTAGAGACTGAAGGAGAAACTTCATAGGGACCGCATGGAAATAAATCAGACAACTAAGCGATGATCAAAAACTACTGAGCCTGACTCGCCCTTGCCTTGCCTCATTTCCTGCCAGGTTGTTGGAATTAAGACCGCAACAGCATATCAGCATATCAGAAACTCAGCTGTTACAACAAGAAGAGCACCATTAAACTCCATGCAGCTTTGCACCACTTTAGGATTTGTTAATTTGTCCTTTACCTGCTCCCCATCAAATGAATTATCTTCGTTCTGTGGTTATTTCAGGGCAACATAACAGATTAAAAAGGAAACTTCTCTGGCTTCTTCTGCGTTTTCAGCTTAACCCTGATTATTAGTATGACTGGTATGGAGAAACGCCCCTAAACTGAAATTGTGTGAACATGCAGAATGCATGTCCCAGTTCTCGCCTACATAGGTTGTGAGCAGCACCCATTGATTTTGCTGGCTGTTACTCGTAGTCTGAAATGTGGGGTAAGTAATCAGACCCTTAAATTGCTATACTGCCTTTAAGCAAGTCAGCTGGAGTGAATCCCTGTTCATCTGCTTGGGAGTGTGTGTTTGTTTTTTGTAAGCTTTTCCATGGCATCAGGAACTCTGTTAATCCACAGAAAATAGGAAACCATTGCCTGTTCCAGAGAAACACTGGCTTTGTTAGCTTGTTTCATCAGTAAATCCACAGGAGAGTTTTCAGAGCCGACTTCCACTGTTCTTAGTTGTTTCCTCTTGCTCTATTTCACTGTCTTAAACCTCCAAGTTGTTGGTCAATTAATGTGACAGGAACCCCGTAGGTTATGTTTGTTCATGGTAGGCATGTCTTCTTTCATTAGTCCAGCCTTAACAGCTGCAGAGTTTTAATGCCTTAGCCACTGTACAACAGCCTGTTTGCAATGAAATGGTAAAGCAATAAAAGCGAGTGCGTTGAGGGCAGGGGGAGAGGAGCTGAGAGGGAAAATGTTAATGTACAAAACCTCAGATTTTCTTCTGTTCTGCTGATTTTTATTTCAATCTCTATTCATTCCCAAATCTCAGTTATTTCCCTGTCTCCCGTAATTGCAGAGAGCTGAGTCCTGACCCTTTTGTTATTCATGTTGGATGTTCTGGCTAGAGGTTTTGCTGTCACTAAGGAATTTGAAGACTGCACACACATTTAAATGTTTTGGAAACAAAGTCGCTAGTCTTGAATTTAAAAATCTGACTGTCAGCAGGGATGCATGAAAATTATCTCTCATTAGCTAAGTTTATCACTGTTCATTAGGATTTCCCTGTAACTGTAATATTTCTTCAATTGTTTTTATTTTTTGCTGTATTTACCAAGCTTTCTTTGAATCTTGTCAGACAGTTTAAGTTCCTAAATCAATGGGTTTGCCTATTAAAAATGTTTACGGTACTGCTTTGTCATCATGAAATATTCCTGCAAGTTAATTAGTAAGAGACTGCATCTTACTCATTCTATCTTTTAGGAAGCTGCTTCAAAGAATTCTCCAACTAAGCCAGTGCCTGACAGTTCTAGTCCCAAGTGCCTAATATTTTTCAGTGATACTCAATTTTAGCAATCTGATATGGCCATTAAATATTGAAAGCCAAAATTAATGATACATTTATATAATTGTGCATAATTGTACTATCTATCTTTGCAGAACTTTTTACAAGAGGTGATGCATAAACAGGAATATTTCAAAATTATGGTGGAAATCAGAAAGTATTTTTTTAAATCTTCCTATATGAAATTTAAATATATCATTGCACATCAAATTTGGATAAGCAAACTTATAGTGAACTGCCTAATATTAGCCTAGATTTCCCAGTTAAATGCACAGACACGTAGTTTATTCATGATAAAAGTAAGCATTCTTTACATTTATTAGGAATATTATTTAACAGTTTCTTTTCTTTTGCATCAACACATTTTCAGCATAACAGAAGCATGCAAACTCAAGAAAATAAATGAATTAGAATGCAACAGGGCACCTAATCTTTCTCCAATTGAAGTTAATGAGAGTTCTGCTTTGAATTTGAACTGAAGTTGAATTTATTGGAAATAGGATTAGTCCAAAATGTATATAGTCTTGCAAATTTCTTTTTAGGAAATTTAATTATAAACAGGATAAAATGATAGGAAATTATGTTTCATGACCGTTCAAGATTTCTATTCATGCATAGAATGATGGTTATTAAAGCTAGAGAACATATGCATTGCTCTGTACTTGCTCTTTACAGTATATGATTGAGAGCTCTGTCCAATCCATCTTTAAATCATTTAAACAACAAAACTTCTGCCATTTCTCCTGGCCTGTAGTAGACTCTCCCACAGGATGTTTCCTATGAGTAAGCCTAGATTTTCCCATGAACTCTTTCTAAATGAAACATTGAAGATGGATTATTAAAGCCTAACTATTATAGTGAAGGTCGGTTTTGCAGAGGCTCTGGAAGTCCAAAGATTTCAGATACAGTCTCTTTAAACTCACAGTACGGGATGACTTTATGTGCTTACATCCCATGAAAATTTCACTTAAAAGCCTAAGTCCAAAAAACCTGTTGTTGGATCCTACTCCATTCAGTAGATGCCTAATCCACAGGGTTCCTAAATTTTGTGGATAGGGAAGGTTTCAGTGTTACGATCCCCTGCATGCTTGATGAACACGTGATGTGGGTGTTAAGTTCATACTTCTGCTGAAGGAAGACTCTCCCATCTCTCCCCTTTTGACTTAAATTGCAACCCCTGTGATGGAACTGATCTTTCTGAAAAACACCCCTTAGAAAAATGGGGGTGAGGAAAGGGTTTGGTTCTACATTTTGGTCAGTTCCTCAGGTTTTTTTTCCACTTGGTGTTGGACAGATGCTTTCGTGGGCCTCCCGGAGAGGATGACACCAAGCTGAAATAAATAGTTGTAGGCAGAAAAACAGAAGGACATACTCTTTTGGGATGCATGCTGGATGACAGGTAGTTCAGCAAACACTGGAAGCCAAGTTCTGTCTGCGATGGTTCTTTTGATGGTGCTCAGCACCATGGTGCTTAACTGTCTCCTACACTGATATCCCTAAACTAGGTTTTCCTTTGCCTTTATCAGTCAAGGGCCTAGACGTGACTGGCGTTTCAGAATACAAATTGAGCTCTATCTAACTATGAAAGAGTATAAGCCTCTTGCAGAGAACAGCTCAGTGGTATAGAGCCTTCATCCAATGTACCATAAATTAATTCCCTCTTCAGGCTGCGTGAGTTTGGGCCTTCATCTTCCGTCGCTATGAAGACTGCCATCAATGGGGGACCAGGGGACTTTTGAAGGAGATGAAGTTTTCCCACTCTCCGCTGAATAACGGGCTGTACCCTTGTAGCTGTCTCCCCCCCCCAGTATTAACTTGCCTTCCCTTTCCTCCTTCCCAGGTAGCCTCTCTCGGAGTCACCACGTTCACGCTGTGCGCCCTCTGCATCGACCGGTTTCGTGCCGCCACCAACGTGCAGATGTATTACGAGATGATCGAAAACTGCACCTCGACGACGGCCAAGCTGGCCGTCATCTGGGTGGGCGCCCTGCTGCTGGCCCTGCCGGAGGTGGTGCTGCGCCAGCTGGCGAAGGAGGACCCCCAGTACGGCGGGGAGCGGTGCGTGGTGAAGATATCCACCGCGCTGCCCGACACCATCTACGTCTTGGCTCTCACTTACGACGGGGCAAGGCTCTGGTGGTACTTTGGCTGCTATTTTTGTTTGCCTACCCTCTTCACCATTACCTGCTCCCTGGTAACGGCGAGGAAGATCAGGAGGGCGGAAAAGGCTTGCACAAGGGGGAACAAGCGACAAATTCAGCTGGAAAGTCAGATGAACTGCACGGTGGTGGCTTTGACCATTTTGTATGGGTTTTGCATCATTCCTGAAAACATTTGCAACATCGTGACCGCCTACATGTCCACAGGGGTCTCTCAGCAGACTATGGACCTCCTCCATCTCATTAGCCAGTTCCTTTTGTTCTTCAAGTCCTGTGTCACCCCGGTTCTCCTTTTCTGTCTCTGTAAACCTTTCAGCCGGGCCTTTATGGAGTGTTGCTGTTGCTGCTGCGACGAATGCATCCAGAAGTCTTCAACAGTGACAAGTGATGACAATGACAACGAGTACACCACAGAACTGGAGCTCTCCCCTTTCAGTACCATCCGTCGCGAAATGTCCACTTTTGCCTCCGTGGGGACTCACTGTTAATTGACCTTAGGACTTTGTTTCCTGTATCTTTTTCCTTTCTCTTTTTTTTTTTTCTTTGTTACTTCATATTTTTCTTCTTGAAGCAAAATGAAAAAAAAAAAAAAAAGATTATTGAAAACTACTCTGGAAACCAATCTGCATATTAACAGTCATGCTTTGGAAAATAATTTGTTTGGTTATTAAAATGAAAGAAAGAGAGGGAAGGAGAGCCAGCACTCAGTTTTAAATCATGATATTTTGTATGGTGCTAGGATTTTATTGTTTGGGGAGGAGAATCCATATCAATCCACTTTTATTTAATTCCATAGTAATTTTTTGATAATCACTGTAAAATGATTATATAGACATTGTGGGTTTTGCAAGATGTTTCATGTAAAAGATGTGGTGGAAAGTATTTGAAGGTAGTTTTAATCCAATTACTGTACACTATTGTGAGAGGACTTGGACTTCAGAAAATTTATAAAGTAGCATAAAAATAAATGAGGTTTTATTCTTTAACTTCATTATCAATCTGCATTTAACAAGGATGCCTATAAGTAGTATTAAATTCCTTTAATAAGTAAAAACAACCTTTTCTTTGCATAAAATAATTTAAATGCTCATATTTAATTTACCATTTGTGTACTTACCCTTGGAGGCTATAATTACAGTGTTTAAGGAAGATGGTTATAATGGTATTAGATTTACATGAGTGGGTTTTTTTAACGTACATTACAAAGTTTCAATGTGCCTCATTGAAAATTTCCTTCTTAACCTGCAGGTATACAAAGCCTGAGTTATTCTGTACTTCTTGCGAAGAAAGATTTGCTTTCTCACTAAATTTTGTCCTGTGTGGTTTCAAAATCAAGTTTCTTTCCAATTTGTTATTGGTTTTACATTGGCAGTCTCTGTATATATAGCTCCCGCTGGCTTCAGTGAGAGTCCCATTGCAGAGGAAGGCATTCTTTTGCCAGAGGTTTGCTGACAATAAATGTGAGGGACTGAAACATGTGGAGAGTGAATTCCTTCTTTTTTAAAAGGTATAAACACACTTGGACGCTTGGGGCTTGACCCAGAGCCCGTTGCAGTCAATGGAAAGGTTTCCATCAATTTCAGAGGGCTTTGGATCAGGCTGGCATCTCCTATTTATTCTGGGATATGTAGCATGAATATTAATCATGGGGGCTCTGTATACCGATTATAAATCACGCTGCTCTCACAGAGACTGCTATTCACTAGCAGCTCACAGCTCTGAAGCTGGTTTTGAGAACCACAGTGTGTTTTGCTGATGGCTTCTTGCTGTCCGCAGAGTTATTAAAATGAGGGTGCATCAACACTGCCAGCAACAGTGCGATATAGTAAAATCTTAAGCTGATGTAAGCAAGCCAGGTTGGAGACTGGAAAGTGCCTATCTGTACCAGCAGAGCTTCTTTGCCCCACTTCTTGGCTGAAGTAGGCAGGCTGTTCTTGGCAGGCAAGCTGGCTCTTATTTACACTGGGCAGTGGGCTGAAGTGTAGACACATGCTAAGGAACTGGATTTGTTATAATTAGCTTGTATTTTAATACTAATTAAATAAATAATACAATTGCAATAGTATGTGCAGAAGTAAAATCACATGCATTTGTCCTTTGAAGTTAACAGTGATTGTAACTGATGTAGCCTTACTTCCCGATACCTGCCTCTAGATATGTTAAAGACTTTGCTGTAACTTCTGGAAAGGAGTCTATTTTTTTATTTGTAGATTCTGGACTTAATATGTTTAATCTTCCTTTCTGCTTGGGCAAGCAGTATTTCTTCTTTTTCTTTACCGCTTTAACCTATAACAATTTCAACTGAAAAGCAATTGGAACTAATTAATCTGAATTAATCCAAATATATATGCACTTGAGTTCTTTTTCTGACTTTTGAACCAGATATTGGGCCCTAGCAATGCAATCTGCTTTAAGCACAGGCCTAAATTTAAATATTTTTTTCTGTTTAGGACTTGCTAAGTTACCTAAGTTTTTAAAATCCTTTTGTAACATGGTCAATCACTTCTGAAGACAGGGGAACTGTCCCTTCTTTATAAACCCTTCGTTGACTTCACATTGTTCGATTACATTCAATAAACTATGAAAGGGATTAAAGAGAAAAGAGAAAAACAAAATCTCCTCACTGTGGTGCCTGTGTCTTCTCGAATACATATTCCTATCTCTGCATTTAGATTTGTACTATTCTTTTTTAGGTGCCAATTTTTATAAAGGATGGGAATAAAACCTCCCTTTTTGTTCCTTGCCGAGTTGTTTCTCTCAGCTGCCTTTTCAGTCACAGCATGAGCAGTGGCTCAAGGAGGGGAGAAAAGAACAGCAGAATGGGAGGAAGCACTTTTTTTTTAAAAAAAAAGGAAATAGAGAAATTACTTGGGAATATTAAATGATCACATTTTGCTAATTTATGTGCAGAACTGTACCAGGGCAGGAAAAGTCCCCATGGCCTTGGATGTTAGGTGCTTCCAGCTTCCCAGTCTGCAGTGGATATGTATAAGCTCTGCTCAGGACTGCTGCTCGCTCCCAGGTTAAATGCTCTGTGTCCCCGAGTGGTGCAGTTTGCCTCTCCATTGAAACATTTCCATAATATGTGTATGGTAATCCCACTGGGGAAAAAAAAAATCAGCAGAAAAGAGATTTAACAAGTCACTGAAGAAGGTAGAATTTGAAGATCAATAACGCTGTATTTGGAAATACATCCTCCTGCTTGTGTGGTGGAGTATTCTCCAGCCTTGTATTAGTGGGGCTTCTTTGTACTCAGTGTAACCTTGCCTTTTCTGCTGCTGAAAGAGCATTTTTCACAGCTATTTCTACCCCCTGCCCTGGACCTCCATAGAAATTGGGCATACAAGATACCCTTTTATTCTAATTTGTTCTCTAAATTGGTTAAACTAATCCCACATTAGCAGGTTTGCATTGTTGTGGCCATTCTGATGCAGGCGCGGCTTGTGAATGCATTTAAGTGTCATGATAAATGATTCCTTTTGTTAAAGATGGGGTACTGGATTGCTTTTCTTACTACTTTTGGGATTGATGGTCTGAACTCTTGAAATTTTCCTGGTATTTGCTTTTCTTACTTTCTTTAATATTCTTAGAAGCCATTTGTGTCTGTTTTGAATTCAGTTCTGTAAGACATTTGTCTATTAACAAGAGGGCATTTAATGGACTGATGAATGAAGATTTGGAAATGTTTATGGCGAGGATTTAATTCTTTTACATAAAATAGAGAAATATGCAGAGAGCATGGTGATCAACATAAAAGACGGTTGATGGAATGGAAGGAAAATCAGATTGTGAGGTAGGAAAGCCTTACACCTCTCAGGTATGTAAACCTTTAATACATTAACACTTGTCGTCCCAGCCCTGGTCCCATTAAGAAATTAAAACCCATAAAACTCTAGGATGAGTTCCAGTATCTCCAATGAGATCATGTTTCATGACCTGTACCAAAAATATGATCTTTGTGTAGGCCAAAGTACAAATGCTAAATTATTGAAAAATATTGCTCAGTTAGAAGAAATCTCATATTTTCCCCCTTCCAAATTTCTGCATCCCACCTTAAATAACCCCTGCCCTTAAATGACCTCAGTGACTTGCTCAGCTCCAGTTCTGTCTTTGGCACCCAGATGTAAGCTTCCACCGCTGCTGCTCCAGCAGCTCTGGGAATGGCTCCTACAGACAACATAGAGGTTTCCAAGCATGTTGTCTTACGTCTCTTCATAAGAAATTGCATGATTTTAGGCTACATGGTGAGACTGTCGTATTGTGCTCATGGCACTCAGAGGAAAAGTAGATTCTGTGCAATGTGAGTTGCTATTGAAACTCTGAGTAGCTTCTCCAAATTCATTAAACAACAAGAATATTCAAAACCTCTCCTAGGATCTGTGAGCCATTGTCTTAGGCACCGTACAAATACATGCAACTTGCCCTATGGGCGCCTAACTGCTGTTGACGTTCTCAGATACTTTGCTGAGCTGCTTCTGGGCTTTTTTTGCCAGGTCACATTAACAAAACTCCCAAACACTTAAATCATCCCCTTGTTACTGTGTTGGAATTAAGACTGAAGGCAAAACCTGCTCAAAATGAGTCTGTCTCCTTAGTTGGGCCCAGTCTTGCGTGTGTATGGAGAGCACATCTAAGGTGGCTGCAGACTGCCAGTAGATACAGCCTTAGCAAAGTAGCATCAGCAAATATATGTTTGTGCATGTTCCGATGAATCAAAAATTTAGGTTCTGTTATTTCTAGGGTGGAAGAGCTAGATGCAAAGTCCTGCTCTGCTTAACTTATAGCTGAGACTTGAATTTGGTGGTTCACCATCCTATCAGAAAGGCGTAACTGCAGTGGTAATAGATATGCTGGTGAAAAGGTTTTTACCTCTCCTGTTGGAGTTGTTCCAACTTCTTTTGGTAATTAAATATTGAAGTAGAGACTTCAGCCTCAGTACCAACACCACTGACCTAAGCCACTGTGCTGTAGGAACAATTTCTTTTGTTCACTCTCTGGTCCAGAAAATGTTTCTAAGGGGAACAGCTACTGTCAGAGAAGTGGAGAAACTGTGACTCCAGAGTAGCCGGCAGGTTGGTTGGTAAGGTGCTCAGGTGAGAAATGAGAAGTTTACAAGTGCCTGCACTAAGCCAGACATTTGAACCCAAGCCTGTTTTGGAATACATATGCTACCCATAGCCTTACTAGTTCTTCTGTGGTAGAAAGTTGTGGATTTTTGTGTCTCCTGGATGGGGAACTCCTCACCTACCTGAGCAAATTGTCCATTTCAGGTGACTAATGGGAGAGTAGTCACAGTGGGTGATCCTAAGCAGAAGGAGACCTGATGCCTTGCTCATCTCCACTTCTCTCTTCCCCAGCAATTTCTTCTCTACCTACTGGTTTCTGAGGGTCTTTCTTCAGACAAGGATATTTTGCAGGCAGTGTGGCAGCACTCCTGAAAGTTAAGCTGGGCACATGCCCACATACGCACCTGTGAGTCTCTAGACTATGATCCCTCTGCCTCGGGAAGGTTATAGCACATACAGAGGAGGTTGTGTATTACCTTTATTCTGCGGGGGAGAACCTATGAAGCGAACTGCCTGCAGGAAGCCGGCTCACCTCAGCTCCATAAGAGCCTAGACCTAATGATTTGCTCAGATTACAAAGGCAAACTGGGACCTTGAAGTAGATCTTCCATGTCCTAACTTCTTAAGTCTTCATCCTGAGAATATCCTTCTTCTTTTTGCAGGCTGGAAATACAATAAGTGACAAGTAAGGTCCATTTTCCTAATAACACTGACAAATCTGATTAGGAGGGGTTACACCAGGCATTTTCTGTGATAATGCCTGTTTTTCTTTTTTTCCTTTTCTTCTTTCCAACCTTTCATATTTCCTGAAAAGCTCAGCCAAAGTCAGTGTGAGCAGATGATATGAATCATTAAAACTTAACGGTATCCTGCATGCACTGTCTCATGCTTCAGGGACTGTACTTTTTCACTACTGTTTTGTATTTAGTGGAGTCATTTGACACCTATGCTTAGCAGGTGTCAAATCTTCAAAAGCTGGGCATGTTTTTTAGTGAATAAGAAGCAACAAAAAAGACACGGACCAAGATGCTCCAGGACACCCCGGCAGCTCTGCTATAGAAACATTGACTCATGCTGAGGCCTGAAGGTTCATCAGACAACTGGGAGGAGAGCTGTATTTAACCATGTACTGCATTTAACCCCTGAAATCCAGGCTACTTGCTTTCCCTGTGACACAGTTGGGTAGGTTCAGTTTTTGGTTTTCAGGCAGTAAAAGCTGGGACAAAGACTCCCTGGCATTTTCAAGACACCCATGACAGCACTGAGAGCCAGTGCTGTGCCTCCTTTTGGTGACACATTCCCTATGTCATGTCACCTGGAGTGACTAGTGGCAGCATTATTAATTAAGGTAGTAGCTTTATAGCTAAAGGGAGAGCTCTTATTTTGCTTTCTAGCTTTTTATTTTTTTATCCTTTATTTTTGCGTGA